AGAGAGAGAGAGAGAGAGAGAGAGAGAGAGAGAGAGAGAGAGAGAGAGAGAGAGAGAGAGAAGTTATAAGAAGCAGCTGTAAGATACAGATGGGTAATAAACTTTATTGCGTGTTCGAAAATCTGCAGGAATAAAACCTGTTATTGTCTGGTGCTGAAAAGCAACAAAGTTCAAGCTAAGTTAAATGTTCCTTTCATAATTGAAGGCTATCCTGAAAAAACCAAAAAGTCCCACTCACTAAGAGCCAGGAGCTACATCACTGATCTCTGAATAAAGCCCACTAAAGACTATCACGGACTCCTAGAACTATAGATTTTGACAAGGGCAAATTGGTCCCAGGTTCCAATTTTGCAAAGAAAGCCAAATTCCAGCGTCGGTAACAGATGGCCGTGCAGCTTCCGAATAAGCATCTCTAAGAAAGATGACTACATCCCCTTGCTCAATCATCGTTTTCACAATCAAGCTACTTTGTTAAGGGAGCTTTTTCTAGCATCCATTTGTCACTTGGAACCATTATGCTGTGCCTTGTCTTCTGCAATGATAGAGAACGAGTTTTGACCTTCTCTTTTCAACTTCCGATGGGGCGTTGGAAGAAGTCGACCGTGTTTTATTGATCTGAAATATTTAGCTCGCCGCCCATCTTAGCAACCACTCTGCGCAGCACCCCATCGAAAATCAAAACAAAGGTTCTTCTTGCACACATGTGCTAGTTGTTCCTGACTCTAGGGGGCGGTGCTCATCTCCGTTTCAAAGCCGAAGAGGCAACACTGCCTGAAGATGTCTCCATGGTCACGTGGCTGGCATGACTAAATGCCAAAGGCGCATGGAACGCTGTTGCCTTCCCACCGAGATGGTACCTATTTTCCTACTTGCGTTTTTACATGCTTTCGAACTGCTAGGTTGGCAGAAGCTGGGACAAGTAACGGGAGCTCATTCAGTTACGCAGTGCTAGGGATTCGAACCGTTGAACTGCTGACCTTTCTGATTGACAAGTTCAGCATCTTAGCCACTGAGCCACCACATTCCTTTATATTTAAAACAATATATAAGCCTAGAAAACCACACACATCAGAATTTTAAAAACAACAAAAACCTGGCACCAGTGTGCAATCATCTAATTATCAGAGGGATACAATGAAGATCAAGTGAGGTACTAATGCCTCTGTACAAAGGCTTAGTAAGACCACACCTAGAATCCTGCATCCAGTTCTGGTCACCACACTATAAAAAAGAATGTTGAGACTCTAGAAAGAGTGCAGAGAAGAGCAACAAAGAGGATTAGGGGACTGGAGACTGAAACATACGATGAATGGTTGCAGGAACTGGGCCTGGCTACTCTAGTGAAGAGAAGGACCAGGGGAGACATGAGAGCAGTCTTCCAATATTTGAGGGGCGGCCACAGAGGGTAGGGGGTCAAGCTATTTTCCAAAGCACCTGAAGGCCAGATGAGGAATAATGGATGGAAACTGACCAAGGAGAGATTCAACCTGGAAATAAGGATAAATTTTCTGACAGTGTGAACAATTGACTCATGGAACAGAAGTTGCCTCCAGAAGTTGTGGGAGCTTCCACTGGAATCTTTCAAGAAGAGACTGGACTTCCATCTGTCAAAAATGGTGTAAAGTCTGCTTGGGTGAGAGGTTGGACTAGACGACCTACAAGGTCCCTTCCAACTCTGTTAATCTATTAAAAACGTATTTTTATTCTATTCAAGACAAGGTCAAAATGCAAAACTCCAACCCCCCCCCCAAAAAAAAATCCCACAGAAAAGAACCCCTACAAAACAATCAAAACATTAAAAAGGTGTGTCAAACAACAACAACAACAACAAACAAACACACACAAGATCCCCTCCAGTTGATTATTGATTAATTCATTACTACAGTATTAGTACAACCTGTTTCCCCT